ACTAAAGCGGTTGATGACTATTATGGACAGTATGAATGATTCAGGTTTGATATTGTTTAAGATGCTTCTTTTATGTTTTTTATGAACTTTAGTTTCTCAGCATTATTTTATGTGTTCTATATTTATGTTAGAATTAGACAGTAGAGACGGAGCTAAGTTATTTAGCAAACAACCTGGAAGAATAATGAGAGTAGCAAGGGGTTCTGGTGTAACGGAGAAAGAGGTTAAAGATCTAATTACACAATATACAAAATTCGCAGCTGTTGTTAAGAAGATGGGAGGTATAAAAGGTTTATTCAAAGCGGGAGATATGGCGAAAAATGTTAATCCAACGCAAATGGCAAAACTGAATCATCAAATGGCTAAAATGATGGATCCGCGTGTACTACATCAAATGGGTGAGCAATGATATATTTTAATAGATTAAATCTATTAATAAGTTGAAAATGTTCTTGTATACTTTTATGTGAACTATATAATTTCTTAAATGTATATTAAAGAGTTAGGTTTTAGTAAAAAATGTATACAGTATAAAAAAGATGTGTCAATTTAATTTATTTCATACTTGAAAGTTTGTAGCCATTCTTTTTACAAAAAGTTGTTCATGATTATTTTAGGTGGGATGCCAGGATTGCAAAATATAATGAAACAGTTACAACAGGGCGCTGCAGGTGGATTGGGAAATTTAATGGGAGGTTTTGGTGGTAAATCCTGAGAAGAGGTTCCAGGCAGTGCAATTACTGCCATTAAGGACGTTACGTATCGTTATATACAACTTGCGAGAAAATTACGTCGTATTTGAACTACGATACTGAAGGAATTGTGTTTAAAGCCTTTTTCTTTTCAATCGTTGAATGTGTTTTATATAAATAATGGCATCACGAAAATCATATGTAACGGCAGTGACATTAATAGCCGATTCTTCAACATACTTTATCATTTTTTCAATTGCTCATCGAATCGTTAAAAAAAAAATACTTTTGATGTAAATGCAATAAATTATCAAAATATGCTAAAGTTCATGTCATAATGGAAACATTAACTTATTCCGACATTGTTTATAGCCCCTTATATATCCTTGTATTTTAAAATTTTATTGAACTTATTTTTTTAAACGACTTTGTTGCTTGCTATCCTTTTAATATAGAGTTAAATAACTTTATATGGAGAGAAAGTATCTATTATATTTCTATTATGTAAAGTATACATATATATGTTGCATAATAAAAAATTAATATTTTTAGTTGATGTTGTTACAATCAAATAATAAAAGTGCAATTGATATGTAAATATGATAAATATGATTATCAATGCAAACATTTATATTTGCATATATATTTTGTTAAAACAAAAATATAATTAAAATTTAAGTTATTATTTTTAAGTTTCAGGCAAAAACACAGTCATATGTTTTATACTTATGAATATTAGCACAATGATTAACATATATTAATATTAATAATAATTAGTTTATTTGTCTATGTAAGTAATACTTAATGATAGTAGCAAAAGTAATGCTAGACTATTATTCGCGAGTTTCAGATCTTTATTCTAAAACAGATGACAGATCTTGTTATACATGCTTACAATCTTTAATTAAATGGCACGTTTTTTCTTTTAAACTGGTTATATAATTTTTTATGTTGTTTCTCTTTAATATTATCTAATCCACGATATATTATCTCAGATATCTATTTCCTTATGAAATATGAAATAATAACAATATATGATAAATATATGATAACAACGTAGGAAATATTATATTTAACATTTTTCGCATAATATATAATTAACGCGTATATTATAAATATCTTTGATTTGACTCAATTACAGGTACAAGTGCTACACTCTACTAGAGCATGTATAATACTGTATGTGCTTTAAATATCTTAGCAACTTATTTGTACGGAAAGATCTTTGAGCAACCGAGATAGAGTGTAAAATATCAAGTGACATGTTAGATAGGAATGTAACATTTTCAATGGTAATGCATTCGTTTCAATGTAAAATACTTTAAAGCTTTCGAAGAACAGCTAGATAGATTAATCGACATTGTGCGCGTGGTTGAGAAATTACAGTCCTATTAACTGTCCAATCCTATTAATCTGCTGCTTACTGTCCGACTCCTTAAATACTTTCGAAATCGTACGCGTCAAAGGAAACGTTTCGTTTGTGCTGTAGCAAGTGCCATTCCAATCATCAACATTTAAAGACAGAATCATAGCTCCCTTGAAGCCACTTGTACGAATCCATGTACTCTGCAATATAAATAGTTCAAATGTGAATTTATTTCACATGTTAAAGATTATATTTATATGATATTGCACACAGTGCAATATCATATAAATATAATGTTCAATATATATTTTGCTCTAACAAAGGAAAATACGATACCTTGTAGTAGATGCTCTCCTCGTTATCGTAAGATATCCATTCCTTGTCTTTAAAAGCGTATGGTACACGACTTTCTTTGTTGAAGACATTCACAGCTCCAGATTTTAAAAATTGACAAACTGTAGGATAAGTTACAAAGCCCTTTATGCCAAGCTTTCCGAATCCATTAGTTGGAGCTTGTAAATTGTGATTCAATGGATTGTCTAACTGGTAAGAGTGACCATAAGCTGGTATGCCGACGACGATCTTTTCCCGTGGCATTCCCTTGGCCACCCAATATTGAGCAGAGAAATTCACATTTAATGTGGATAAATAACCCGTTTCTGTACAACGAGGGAAGAGAGGAGCGTTCAGATCTGTGACTGGGAAGTACCAAACGTAGAAATGATAATCGTATGACATGAGATTCACAAAGTCGACGTGCCTGTAAAGATAGAAAATATTTTTTTTTATGATATTGTTTTTCAAATATTTTACAATTATATTATTTTATGTAACACGCATACTCTGCCATTTCAGGAACACTATAACTTTGATCTACAATAGCCTGCGGCGCCGCGACTGCCACTGTCAGGAGTAATTTTTGTCCACTACGATCGAATTCCTTTCGTAATTCCTGTAACAGCTGCACGAAATGTATCTTTTCACGATCGTCGGCTCCTATCCATGCCGGAAACTCCCAGTCAACGTCAAAGCCGTCCAAATGGTAAGTCTTGGTTACATTTAATACAGATCTTATAAATCTGGACAGAAAGATGTTAACAATAACTATATGTATTCTCTAAAATGTATTACATGTATCGTACATGTGCAGCAATGGGAAATCAATGAGAAAACGTACTTTTTTCTATTTGCATGTGTCTTTACCATCTCGGAAAATCCATCGTGGAGCTCATTATTTCCGCCGGCGCTGATCATGACCTTCAATTTAGGTTCGCGATTCTTTAAAGCGACTACTTGCTTGTACACCCACGCATTGTCTCCTATATCGAGCATGTTGTCTACCACGCTCGCAAAACCCACGATAATATGCGTACAAATATGAGGGTCAATGTGCGACGGACTGAGCTCCCACGACGTGTTCAGGTCCCACGGTATTGTGTAGTAGCATACGATGACCTGGCTAAATATAGGATAGATTTTTGACATAAGTACACAGACTCGCATGTATCCTAGATAGATTTTGGATGATCGAAAAATGTTTTCTCACCTGGTGGTATTGCGGTGGTATTGTTCCGCTGCACCGACACTTGTGTTCCTGTCCGCATTCTGGTTCTCCTTCGTCGATTCGGCGTACATCCGAGCCCTACGTAGCCACGTAGCAATCTTGGCATTGTCAATTTGTTCCTCCACGAATCTATTGGCTTTCGGGGCCCTCAGAACGAGTATGCCGAACCAAGCGCGCGTAATAAATAGAATCCCGACGATCAGGAATGTCAAAGTAAGACAAACGACTTGCGTTCTCCAGCGTGGTCTAAAAGATATTTATTTTGTATTACGTTGCATCGAAATATCCAAATAATACGAGTAATTGCGCGCATATAAAAGACCGTCACGGATGTGGAACATCGCGTTTATGCGAAGCAAAATCTTCGATTAATCGCGATGACCTTTCGTGACGAGAGGCGTGAAAGTTCAAAAGCTAGGAATGACGTATGAATTTGCCGTAGTGCGAAAAATCGATACAAAATTTTCTGTCCTTCTCCCACACTCTCTCTTTCTCTCCCATACAAACGGATACGTTTCATTAAGCAACCCCGAAGAATACGCGCGTGTTTACGCAAACGCGCGATACACTCGCCCTCCTCTCGTCTCTCTTTTAATACATGATAAAAAGTATTATTATATATTAAGATATATGTACTCACTGTCTTATATCGGTTAGTAATTCATATTTGGCCTGTGGCACAGGTATTTGGTTAACCATTGAATGATTTTATTATTTTTACTATATTGCCGAGAGTCCACGACAGATTCCTTCTTAAAAAACCAATTAGACAGGCGATCGAAAGAACGCTATTCTTTTATTATCGACAATAGAGTCGACCCGTTTGACAATCCGTTCCGGATCGCGCGCTACTGATAATCGGAGACAAAGCGTTCGAACACACTGACGAAACGAGCCGAGATCATACGTAGATATCGGTACTACGTATCCATACGTAGACGGATCACGGATAGTCAACGAGCGAAGAATTCGCGTTATTTACGACAATTGCATAACGTGATGGGTGTGTTCCATCGCGATTTACCGAATATATATACGGGCAACAATAATCGCGATCAACCAACGTATACATGTGTGCGCATATGTATGTACGTACAATACATGCGACGATGTGTCAAATGTTGTTGCTCTTTCGCACGAATCGCCGATTGGTTCGGAAATGTATTTCTAGGGGGCGTGTATCTATAGAGGTCTGTTCATTTTGGTTACATAATAGACTTTGAAAGCATGAACATGTAAAATATATAGATGTAACATTAGCTGTCGACACGAGGAAGGGGGGATCTCGAAGTTATAAATTTTGATTCACATGTGTATCAATCATATCGTCGCAAATCGGTTTTTTTGTAGAAAAATAATGATATGCACAGATTTGCTCTTGAGATTACATATATATATATTTTTTTTTTGCATATTACATATTTATATATATTATATATATATTACACATTTGTATATATATTAATTAAATAATTTAAAAATATAACATGTTAAATACATGTATGCGTGTAACAAAGTATATGTAAATATTATACATAATATATAGCACCACACACACATACGTAAAAATATATATTTTATCTAAGTAATAAAATATAAAAGAAAAACAATTAATAAAAAATTTAAATAGAATGTAATAAAAAGATTCGATAAATTATTATCGTTTCCCATTATTTTTTAATTAAAACGGATGTATCATTTTAATTAATCAGAAATCAGCCTTATAAATTATATATAAAACTTACAATAGCTAAGAAACTTGTAGTAAGTACGTTTCGTTGAATTTGAGATTTGGTATTTGATATATAATATTGTGAAGTGAATCACAGGAAGCAGTGAAATTAGTATATCAGCGAGACAATAAGACGTCATCCTCGGGTCTTGGTAAACGTCGATAACGTTCCTGCGTTACCAAATATACAGATAAGCCACCAAATGATATGAATAGCAATCCTATACAGTTTATTAGTATTCCTTCACCCACAAAGTTTTGGTATTGATACCTGAAATTTAAAGTAGGAGAATGCATCTTTATATTTGATTGTTTGTTACCTTTTTTAATTTTTTTGATAAATCAATTGCTATATACTTCAATGTGAAAATTGCTTTCTCGTTGAGTCCCAATAAACACGATGCGATTGCACCAATAAAAGTTGCAATGCCAAAATACACATGTATTGGCATATAAGAAGATCGTAATGGAGATTGTAACCCAGGGAAGAGGTACGAGATACATCCAGCAACCCACTGTAAATAAGAGATATATAATTAACACGTGTATTTCTCAATTCAAAATTATTGAAAACAATTTTCATAGATTTACCTGACAGCAAAATAATATTACAGTCGTTAATCCCACCCAGCTATGTAGCGTATACATATTTGGCACAGGTTTTGGCGAAGCTAAATTATGACTGTCAAAGACCGCTACTAAAGCAATCACTGTCAATAATACAATAAATAACATCATTCCTGCATGAGTCAGCTTTAGTCGGCGTTTGCGGACATTTCTTTGCGTTCTATAGATGAGCATGGCTAATGAATGGAAAACATATTGTTTATGTTACAGTAACCCAGGGAAGAGGAACGAGATACATCCAGCAACCCACTGTAAATAAGAGATATAATTAACACATGTATTTCTCAATTCAAAATTATTGAAAACAATTTTCATAGATTTACCTGACAGCAAAATAATATTACAGTCGTTAATCCCACCCAGCTATGTAGCGTATACATATTTGGCACAGGTTTTGGCGAAGCTAAATTATGACTGTCAAAGACCGCTACTAAAGCAATCACTGTCAATAATACAATAAATAACATCATTCCTGCATGAGTCAGCTTTAGTCGGCGTTTGCGGACATTTCTTTGCGTTCTATAGATGAGCATGGCTAATGAATGGAAAACATATTGTTTATGTTACATATACACTTATAATGATGAGAGACAATCAACTCTATGTATATATTATACCATTAGCATACAGAAACACGAGTCCTATAGTCATTAACAAAGGATGCCAATTAAACTCAAGTTGCGGATTAGATGTCCATGAGAAACCATCTCTATAGTAACTCGTCCATATGATTACCAAAATTATAAGAAGTGCACCACATGTCTCGTGAAGAGTGAGAAGCGGAATGAAACCTTCCAAAAAATGAGCTTGGGATGATTCTTCCATTTGATCCATATCTGAAATGTTTTATATCTCATTGCGTACATAAATGTTGAGATAAATATAATGTAGATCTTTAAAACAGAAAATGTGCGTATGCTATATTTGTATAATTCTACAAATACTCGAATATTATATTACAACATTAAATTTATGAAATTCTTAATGGATGGATATACCTAGACATCTTGCATATTCATATGGATAGTTTGACATTATGTATACAACTTTAAACAACCCTTAAATAATTGTAATGATATTCTTCCCCCTTATTTATTATTATCATGACGAATTTTTTTGGAAGCAACAGGTCAAGAGCGAAAGAATTGGTAGAAGACAAACAGATGGAACAAAAAATATCTTTATATAAACAGACAACACAATAGATTATACAAAACAAATTGCCATCTATAAATATATGATAGTCACATATTTAATACACCAATTAAGATAATAGCAAAAAGAAACAAATCAATCTTCACATTTTGTTTATATGCGAGAAATAAAATGAAATAAAAAAAATATCAGCGTTTCGTGGACAAAGCGTGTGTGCTTGTGCTGTCATTATAGATGATTGAAACATATGTTTCGTCATAACATACACAGCTGATATAGGAGTGCGATAGCGGTCACTTTTATCTCTTAAATGGACCAATACACTTTGAATATCGGCTCTTATCAGTTTATTGGTTTCTCGATGACGCGATAATATTTATGTAATATAGGCGAGATATAGAGAAAAGGCTTTCAACGAATCAACGAGATATCTGTCGCGTATACGTACCTTTCTTTTAGTTTTTTGCGAATGCTTGCCGCGCAGATATCAACAAGTACGTAGTGCATATATATGTATATATATCAACACATATACACACACATATATATGCATATATATATGGGCGTCGTACTGCGTCGTCATATAATAAATAGAACGTTCAAGTTTCCATCGATTTTTCCTCGAGCTAAAGAAAAATTTGCATTTTAAAGTTTTTGTACAGAGGAGAAAAAAATGAAGTAGCGTTGAGAATAAATTTGTCAATGATAAAATATAATATATTTCGCATCGTGAGAAAATTAAGCCGGAATGCCGGTGAAATCAAGGAAATTAAATGTATCGACAAGGAAAGGCATTTTACAAAAAGATGATGTATATAATATATATGATATCGCGTGTACAAATGTGCATATGTATACTTATTAAACATCGGAATAACTGTAAATTATGTGTGAAATTAATATCGCATTATATATGCCATAAATAAAACATATATTGATTACTTTGAATCAACAAAAATCGAGAATGATCGAATGGTCGAAAACGTCAACGTACTGTCATCCCGTGTGTCGGTAACGTCAGTATAATGTTACATCAATGTATGGTAATATGGCGATGTTACCGATTGGCTATGATTTCCTCCGATATTCAAAAAATCTTAAACATGACGTACGTATTTTAGAGCTTTTTGTTCTCCTCTCTAATCTTTTTTCTCGCTCAATTACATGTCTTTTAAGAAACGCGATTTTAGATGTGAAAGTAGCGAGTTTGTTAGATTACGTATGTTTAAGTAAGGCATCTGTTAACGACCTTCAACAATTTGTTTACATGACACTATACGTGCTTATATCCCATGTCCTTTATTGGCATCGTCGTTAGTTTTCGATAGTCTTTCAAAACGTCAAGATTGCGATTGTCCAGGTACACTTTATATTTAGATATATATATTAATAATAATGCCTTCAAACTGTTAATTGTCACAAAGAATTATATTCTAATCAGAGCGAGCCACAATTTTAATATATATACGGGGTGAATTTCAATTAAAAATAGAACGTTATTTATACATCGCTCTTTATTAAAATTTGTGAAGTTTAGAATACGAAATAGTTTAAAGTACGAAAATATTATAAATATAGTTTTATTCTCTTAAAAATCATCTTTTTAAATATTATTAACGTCATTATTTTTTAAATAGAACTACACATTCGGTCTTTCTTTTTCTCTATTGTAGCTGACATGAACATTGATTTAAGCATTAACGTACGTTATTTTGAAACGTCCTGAAATTTTTTTGGAATCAAACAAATAGTTTTTCAGCGTGTGTGTGTTTATATAATTGTGACATTTATAGTTATTATATTTAATTACATTCATGTTTATTATTATGTTCTTATAGTCATTACATTTACTTTGCATTAAATATTCTAGTATTATATACATAGAAATTAGCGGCACGTTTACATTCTATGTCATACATTTTTCGTAATAAATACTTATATAATTAATGATCTTCAAGATTATGTTAAATATATCCTGAAAAAACAATGATTGAACAACGAATATCAATTTTTGCATCGTCAAAAAAGACATATGTGTATTATAAAAAATATAGACAGAATATTTATTTAGTGTTCAAATCGAAATCGATCTGATTTGCTCAGAAAATAGGTATATCGAAGAAATAATATTTTGATTTTAACAGTAGCATGTTGACATATGCCAATTACAAATATCTATCTATTTGATTGATTCAAGAAAACTAATTTTATAATTTTATAAATTTCTTTTCTCGAAAGATTCTAAATTTCTAAATATCAAGTGTTTTTAAAAGCTCCTCTTATCTCAATGGAATCTCAGCTGATAAAATGCAAGATATAAGAAATATACAGTTTGATTAACAAATTTGATAACTTTAAAGAAAGCGAGTTTGAATAAAAAAAATTGTTTGATTAAACTTAATTCTGTTAAATTTAATAAAAAATGCATTGTATACATAAAATTATATTAATTCTTTCTTAAAAAGAAATACATAGAAAGATCTTATATATTTTTAATAGAAATTACTCCGTTTTTGTATCATATGTTCTTTCTTGTATATTCTCATATAAAAGTTACGCGATGAGAATAAAACCTCGGCGCTGTATTTTACATTTGCATTTCTCTTTTTTCCTATAAAGAAATATTTTTGCAGATACATGGCAATTTACATGGCATTTCTGAGACTGTTATTAAGCAGCGGCTTAATATTCGTTACGACAGCCGTTTTCATCGAAGAAAATGTGAAAGATGAACCATTTGCGGTTACTCCTTGTTTCTCGGACTACGTAGTACCAGTGAATCATGATGTCGAATTAACATTATTTGTCGAGAAATCTTCTAACGGACACTGTTATGCACCATTTCATCTCGAGGCGCAGCAAAACGATAACAACTTTGCCCTCTACGGCAAATCCACTGTCGTCGTTAATATCACTCGTCCAATGCGACACATAAAATTACGCCTACGACAACCGCAAATAAATGGATTGATATTCGTAATGAATAATAAACAAAAATGTCAGAACGGCAAAATACAAAAATATTCATACGATTACGATACGCAATCGTATGATCTTTATTTCCAGAGTGAATTATTAGAAGGGCTTTATACTATAGAGACGGATTTTGTGGGCGGTTTAAATGATATCGTAGGCCTCTCCATAGTCTCGTACTCGACCTCAGAGCGACAAAGGTGAGTAAAATTAAAAGTATATTGTATTTATTGTAGATATCATTTATATTATTCTTTATAAAAAATTATATATATATATATATATATATATATATATATATATATAATTATTTTATTTTTATAAAGACATAAACACATGTATAAACATAAACGCATTATACATGACTAAAAATATTATTTTTTTAAACATATCATTTACATAAAATGCATTTGTAAGTTCTTTTGATTTATCGTCTGAGATATGTCATTATAAAATGTTATAGGTGGATAGTTGCAATAAACGATTTTCAGAAAATCGCGGCCCAATTAATATTTCCGTGTTTAGACCGGTTGGAATTAACGCTCAACTTAACCATAACCATGAGGCATTATATATACAATTTGGTGTCAAATATGAAAGAAACAAAGTATACAAGTGAAAATGGCATAAAGTCATGGCAATATCACATTACTTCCATGACACGTAATTATCTCGTGTTTATCGTATTGAAAGACTTCATTTCTGTTACTCATATGGAATATAAGGACATCCAAATATGGTACAGAAAGGACTTGCAGTGGCACATGGATCATATGTGGGACATTATCTATGATGTCTTTAACTATCTAAAAAACAAATGGCACATAGAGTGTTCCTTTCCGACAATGCACATTATAATTCCAAACGTAGAAGATGGTATGATGAGTCCAGGACTCATTTTTTATAGGTAAAATATGCATATAATTAAAATAAGATATTAATCTTCATTGAAAAATAAAATTAGTTTTGACGATTTAAATAAAAAAATATTGTATGTTTTCTATTTTTTTATATGTAGAGAATAATCATAGTTTTGCCATTTTATTCTCATAGACTTATCAGGTTTTCATAGATTTTTATGGAATAATCATAAAACTGGTGTCATATATTTTCAAATTTATTTAAGAGAATTCACGAACGAACGAACTCTCTCTCTCTCTCTCTCTCTCTCTCTCTCTCTCTCTTTGCTTTTTTACTTATTAAAATTTATCAGATTCTTATTTTTCACTCACGTTAATAAAGACATGAGCCGATTTATGGAAATTGCTCTTTCAGTGAATTAATATATTTGCAATATAATCGACGTACAAAATTATTAAATAATATTCTTAATAATTTATATAAGATTTTTTGATATATTTTATACAATATTATATAAATATAATTTTTAGAGAAATAGATGTTATGCACTGTGAAGAATCGGATCATGAAGCAAACCAAATGCGAATAAAGAGCTTAATAACGCAGAAACTAATATATCAATGTCTCAGTAATACGTCATCTTGGTTAATAGACGGATTGGTTACGTTGATAGAAGTGGATATTATCGATAAGGTTATTTCATATATATTTATCAAATTATAGTTTATTCTTACGTAGTTAAATAAATATTTGTTGATATTGTTACAATGTAATTTTAAAGTTTTTGTAAATTTTTTGTTCTTTCCGTTAAGATCATAGAAAATTAACTATTCAATTCTTTCAAATCCTCTTATAAAATTTGAAGTAAAATATAAAAAGAAAATATTTCACACAGAAAAATAGCGCATATATATAACGTAAAACATGCGATTAAATTATTAGGATGGCGTAAAAGAAGTCCGCAGGCATCCTTTTGCATGAATTCAATTATATATGTTTCATCTCAAACAATTAAATTGCATATTATTTTATAGATATTTTCTTATAATTCTATAAATCTAATATAATAGTAAAACTTATTTTAGCGAGTATATATAGTAGTGCTTTGTCGATGTTGAATATTTTTATTCGTATATTAAAACTGTCATCTCTTTAGTTTTTCGAAGGATCCCGTATGCTGGATTTGTTCGTGGTTCAG